TGTTGAATACATTTTTATGTCAAATTTCTGCATGAGGTTCTTAAATTCTTTATTATAGAATTCCGTCCCCTGATCACCATGCAGATTCTGAGGTACAGGACCTTGCTTTAATATGGAGGCCATAGCTTGCGTTACATTTGATCCACTTTTGGTTTCGATCGGTACTGCCCAAGCATATTTAGAAAAAACGTCAATCGTTGTAAGAAGAACCTTATACCCATCATTTTGTTGGGTATATGCTGACATGTCAACAAGATCAGCCTGCCATGTCTCATCTAGATCTCGTATGTCAACATGACGTCTCCGATAATTTCTACGTGCTGGTCTGTGAAGTTCTTCAACTAAAGCTTCTTTCTCAGTCTTGAATGTTTCTTTTTCTTTTGCTTGATTTTGTTGCTTCATTGTCAGAGAGATGAGTAGTTCGTTGTAGAGCAGACCTCTTGACTCGTTTCACTTCTCTTTGATTTTTCTCAAATACTTGCGATGAATCTATAGTGTTGTCGTCAATTAGTTCATCAGTGTTGACCTTATTTGAACTTCTCTCACCAGCGGCTGAGGCTTGACTGTCTTCGAGATTCGTCATGATGAGCTTTTGTAGAGATTCCAACTGCACTTTTAAAACTTTCAAGGGAATCGCATCATTATCATCCACAGCATCAGCAATATTACATAACCGTTTGTTTTTTATATCAAATTGTCCATCTTGTGTAAGTTTAAAACCTCTTCCTGGTGGTCCTCGAACATTTCGAGAGGCAAATCCACCCCCACTCAGATGTCTTCCGAACACATCAACGCTCATCTTGATACTAATCTTCAATACTGTAACTCATCTTTAATATATGAATCCAGCTTCTCTCAATTCTTCAATTATAGAGATTATTTCATTGTTATGATTGTTATTACCCGCAGCCTCAGATGCGTATAACAGTCGGAGCCTATCTACCAACTCATTAGGATCATCACAGTATACATAGTCAATATTACGCTTTCGTCGAGCAATCATCTGATTTGACAACCCTTTTCCGCGTGGAGATTTTATCACAAATTTATCGATTCGTTCTCTATTACCCTGTCGCACACCTCTTTTCGGGTTGTAATGTGACATATTGAGATGAGTAGATTTAACAATGCTCGTATATACACTCCTATCATCATCCGTGATTAGGTCTAAATTGGGTGTGGCTTTGAAAAGCAATTCGAGAAGTCCCGGCGTCTGTTTATACTCACCGTTACCAATGTATATTTATTTTGCTTCAAATTGAATAGGTGTAGCTCCAATTACCATCTTATTTTTCAGCATTCGGACTCCAATCTGCGGATCTAATTCTCTCCTACCATCTTCAGTAGTGAGTAACTGCAAGTATTCATCTGCCGTTGTGTTCTCTGTTGAGGTGTTTTTTGGTAAGTTACTCTCATCATCATCGTCATCGAGTATGGAATGATATCGGCTCATATCGTCATCATATTCATCATCATCATCAATGCTAATCTCTTTCTTTGGTGTCATGAAAGCTGATGATGGAGCTGACTCAGTGACGTGCGGTCTCATTTCACGAGTATTCATCTCAATAACTCTACTGGAATGTGATGGATTGGGCAGTCCAATCTGGTGATCTAGTTCAGGAACCTTCACTTTCTTCTTCTTTCTTGCCATTCTGGAATCGGTAGTTTGTTCAACGAGTTTCTGTAATGGTGTAACCATTGGTTTGAAAACTTCATTGAGGACTTTATCCGTATCATTCTTTCCCAGTTTTATCAGCTTATGTTTCTCACGAATCGCTTCACTTGCATTCGTAATTTGCTGCAGCATCTGCTTCTCCGTGTTCAGCGTATAACTCGACATGTTGAAGTCCAAAATACAACTGTCAGAGAGATGAAGCATCTTAGATATTTATAAAACAATCAAATCCTCGTCGATAACGTCCATCATTAATTTCTCTATCCTTATCTATCACTAGAAAACTATATTTATCAATATTCCAGCATGATGAGCATAGGCTTTTGAATTGATTATATGTCATATCTGTGTTCACATGATCTTCATAGATATGCTTTAGATTCATATCATCCTGCTTAAATAATATCAGTAAATTGGCATTATCGCGCACGAGGTGTTTGGGTATCCTCGTATAAGTTTGACAAAGATAGAAACAATCAACATCTCGATGTCGCCTCATACAGAAAAAAGCTCGAACGTTATCTTGTTTTTCACATGCGACATCATCAAAAATAAAGATAGAATTGGGTTGCGCATCATCGGGTTTTATGACGGTTTCATGTTCATTGAACGGGAAATATCCAATCGTATTGGTTGATTCTAAGACTTTCTTCAAAAATTCATATTTTGGTCGATTCAAAGATTTTGAATACACATAAACATTTTCAAATCTTAAACCGTTGGGGTGTGTAATGAGAGCCAATAATGCATTCGTCTTCCCACAATTCGAGGGACCACAAAAAATGGCACGCACTGTATTTGGTAGCAATTCCCCATGACGTTTGTCCTTCAGCTTATCAGTATCAGTCTGAACAATTTCATCGAAATTCAGAATTGGTAATTTAACTTTTTGCTCTCTGAATTTCATCTTCGCTGATTAGCGTTACACACACGACTTCCCCATGTAAACTGAGGCAAAATGTATAAATAGTTAGTATTTATACATTTCACATTCAGTTGGATAGATGCTATGGACGTGAGCAGACGTAAGAAGAGTGGTAAAGGTTTTATCAATAGGATCATCAATAAATTACCAATTGAACTTCATATTCCTGGTTATCAATATTGCGGACCAGGCACAAAGTTAGCTAAAAGATTAGCTCGTGGTGAACTCGGTATTAACCCTTTAGATAAAGCTTGCAAAGAGCACGATATTGCGTACTCAAAAAATCGAAATAATCTTTCAGCTAGACACCAGGCAGATAGGATCTTACAAGAGAAAACAAAAAAAAAAAAAAAAAAAAAATTTTAAGAGAATTAGAATTTAGAGAGAAAAAATTTCCGCTTCACCCAGCCGGGAATCGAACCCGGGTCTCCCAGATACGCGCCGGGCACTCTTACCCGCAGCTTGGACTCGTGTTTTATCAAAAGACGCAGGTTTAGGTGAGAAAGCTGCTGCATGGGCAGTAGCTAATACTATGAAAGCTAAAACGAAGTTCGGAGTTGGATTGATAAAGAAGAAGAGGGTCACGAAGAAACGTGGGAAAAGTCTTGTGAAGAAGAAGGAGAAGAAGAAGAAGACATGTGGTCGTGGTGTTTCTCAGAAAAAAGTACCTCTGAAACAGATAATTCGTATGGTGAAACAGGGAATACGCCCCGGAGATGCAGTCAAATTCGCTCTTCAGGCAGCACGAGATGCTGTCCGGAAATCTGGAGGAAAGCGTTTCATCAAATCACCACGAATATTGCCAGTTCCCGGAAAAATTGGAGGAATCTTACCATTCTTGATTCCATTGTTTGCTGGTCTAAGTGCCACGGGAGCTTTAGATGGAGGCGCCGCAGACATTGCAAAAGCCGTAAATGATTCGAATGTAGCTAAACAGTATCTTGCGGAGAACAAACGTCATAATCAATCAATGGAGGCAATTGCAGTGGGCAATGGATTGTATTTAAAGCCATACAAAACAGGATTGGGTCTCCATTTGAAACCAAAAAACTAATCAAGCTACCACACCGAGCCCTCAGCGATGCAAATATCATAAAATTTGCTAAATTAATGAAAATTCCATATTTTCGAGGAGTATTTATGAGAAATGCGTTACCCAAGAATGGACCTCGGAAAAATGAATCAGCTGTCATCAATTTAGATGATAAAGATGATCCTGGCACGCATTAAGTGGCATACAGAAAACGGAATAATAAAATTATGTATTTCGATAGTTTTGGAAATTTACAGCCGCCAGAAGAAATAATGAAATATTTCGGTGTTGGTAGCATTGTCAAATATAATCACCAACAACATCAAAAATATGATACAGTAATATATGGACATTTATGTCTTAAATTCCTCAATGACAATCTATAAATAGTGAGGATGTTGATATATTGAATTAGTCCGAAGACAACAACCATGAGTGAATCTTTCACGCTAACATTATCGGGGACGTCTTCAATTTTAGAAGCCAATTATTTCCCACCAATTGAGCTGTCTCCTAGTCATCATTACAGTTTGAGTCTTATGGAATTGTTGACATTCAATTCAATTCCGAATATTGATGAAGGGAAGAATAAATTTCATCATTCTGATGGTGAGAGAGAACATACAATGATGATACCAACAGGTAGTTATGAAATCGATGATATATAAAACTATTTGCAAAAAGTCTTGCAAAGAAGAGGTGTTACTATTGATTTGAAAGCAAATAATAACACCTTATGCAACGAAATCAGAAGTAGTCATATAATAGATTTTACTCCTTCCGATTCCATTGGTCAACTATTGGGCTTCGATAGGAAAATTTTAACACCTGATAGAACCCACATATCAGATTTATCTATAAGAATCCTCAAGGTCAATTCTCTGTGTGTGGAGTGTAACAACACCAGCGGTGCTTATATGAATGGGGAGAAGGCACAAATCATACATGAATTTTTTCCTACTGTACCACCAGGATATAAGATCATGGAAGTCCCGAAAAACCTCATTTATCTACCGATCGCCGTGCAAGCCATAGATCATCTCCAGCCCAAGTTAGTAGATCAAGATGGTGAATTGGTGAATTTTCAAGGTGAAACTATAACAATAAGACTTCGTGTGAAGCGAACATAATGGGTATTGTATTCAGAACAAAAATTGGAAAGAATTATAAAAGTACGTTAACGAGGCGAGGAGTCAACAGTCGTCACGGGACCGGCGAACAGTTAACACATGAAAATATTCAGTTCCTCAAAAGTTTGAATTTGAAACCAAAAGTGCAGAATATATATTGAACAGAAAATCATGGAGGATATATTGAAAATTCAGAAATCTGTCGAATTTGATGAGTCGATTTCTCATTATGAGATGCATGCTCATCAACCATTTGCCTCTTCATCATTTGGTAACAATGATGAAATTTCAATAACAGTACAACATCAGGATTTATGCCTTTTACCAAGTAAAAGTTATCTTCACATCTATGGACGTTTGACAAAAGAGGATGCTGCAGCTCCAGTGGGAAGAACCAGATTCGTGAATAATGCTATTTGTCATTTGTTCGAAGAGATTCGATATGAACTCAATAGCATTGAAATTAATCGTGCGAAAAATGTTGGATTGACAAGTCTGATGAAGAATTATGTTTCACAAAATCCTAGTCAATGGCCTTTATTGGAAAATGCTGGTTGGTTGAAGAGAGATCATATGGATAGTGATGAGACAATTACAAATGCAAATGGGTATTTCGATATTTTTATACCATTGAGTTTGATTCTCGGCTTTGCTGAAGATTATCAGAAAATCATTGTGAATGCAAAGCATGAACTCATCCTCACGAGATCCAAGACGGATGTTAATGCCATTCTTCAAGGAGCAATCACAGTTCAAAACCCTGAGGAAAAATATAAAATCACATTACAAAAAATTGAGTGGTTAATTCCATATGTCAAAGTTTCCGATGAACGCAAGGTGAGACTGCTCAACTTTATTGGTAAAGATACACCCATCGGAATAGGCTGTCGTACCTGGGAGCTGTACGAATATCCTCTGCTTCCTACATCATCGAAGCATGTTTGGGTGGTGAAGACATCGAACCAGTTAGAGAAACCAAGATATGTGATCCTAGGATTCCAAACGGGACGAAAAACTAAAACAACTAATGCTAGCAACTTTGATCATTGCAATATTCGAGATGTGAAGCTATTTTTAAATTCACAAAGTTATCCATATGGAAACATGAATCTTGATATTGATCATAATCAATTCTCTACATTGTATAATATGTATGTGAACTTCCAAGACTCATTTTATGAAAAAGAACCAGAGCCATTGTTGACTAGATCAGAGTTCTTGGAGAAAGCTCCATTGATTGTTATCGATTGCTCGAAACAGAATGAGTACCTAAAGAGTGGTCCAGTCGATATTCGTCTAGAATTTGAATCAGCTTCACCTTTCCCAGCTAATACATCAGCCTACTGCCTTATTCTCCATGATCAGATCGTTGAGTATAATCCGATCAGTGGTGGGGTTAGGAAGCTAATGTAAACAATCGAAGGTATAAATATGATGATGCAACCAAGATGACAATCAGTCTCATATCAACTTTTAGAGCAACAACTTCATTCAAGATGGATAAGGGCAAAAATGATAGTTCCAAGTCTTCGAGCATGAAGTCCTACTCGGACTATCAAAAAGATACATCTCTCAAAGGAAGTAAGCCGTACTATGGTTCAGTGGATGCAGGACGTTATGGAGCAGTAGGCGATGGGAGATATAAAAACAAATAAATAAACATAATGATGTATATTAAAAAATGAATATATATATTTTTTATCATTAATCAAAAAAAAATGTCATCATTGTACATACCCTATTCTCATAAACATTATTATAATAACTTAAAAACTATTCGAAACGCTCCGTCTATGTTTTTGTGATAATATAGGATTTAATATTTTCTCGCATAAACCTATTCAACGTCTGAAATGATCATGATCTCGAGCAATCTGAGTAATAGCAAATTTGGAAGAATTGTAAACTATTGAAAACGATATTATAACGATTTCAAAAACCATGAGTTAAACTTCACGCTACGAGTTGAGATTCAGTAAACTGAACTTGACTTTGTATTGAGTGTGGATCGTGCAGAGTGCGCGAGTTATCCCCACTCCGACTCCCAATGGATGATTCATCATGGAACAGTCGGGAACCATCGAGAATATTCGAAACCAATCGAGTATGCTATTTCATGCAAGTCTCAACAGGACTCAGTCGACACCCTCACCCCACGAACTGATGAGTCGTTGATGACATCATCCGTCTCGAACGTTCCGCGATCGTATCGCCTATATAAAATTTCTTACAAGTGCCAACCGGTCATTATGGTATCCTATAAGTCCCAACAGGATTTGGGAAGTAGCCCCACCACGCGCAAATCCATGAGTCATCAGTCGACGCTCCGAATGACGCATCGATGACATTATCTATCTAGAAAATTCCATGACGGTGGCGCCACCACTAATATCATATTCCATACAAGTCCCAACAGGACTTAGGAAGCACCCCCCACCGCGTGATGAGTCATCGATGACGTCATCCTTCTCGAATGTACAAGTCTCAGCAGGACTTACAGAAAACCCCCACCTCGCACATCGATGAGTTATCAGTCTGAGTGACTCACCGGTGTCATTCATCTTGAAAAGATTTAACCATTGTTTTCACATATTTACGCATGTTTGCATATGTTTGTAAATGTTTGCAAATGTTTTCCAACGTTTGCAAAATGTTGTCAAACGTTTGAAAATGTTTTAGAATGTTGTCAAATGTTTGCAAAATTTTTGCAGAAGGTTTGCAAATTATGTCAAATGTTTGCAAAATGTTTGCAAATGTTGTTAAATATTTGCACATGTTTAGGAGTTACGGGGAGTTCCCACACCATGCAAAAAAATGAGTAATCAGCCGGAGTGACTCATCGATGAGGTCATTCATCTCGAAATTTCCGCGATTGTTGCGGCAATATCCAATTTTATCCATGTGTCCACAGGTTTTCATAGTATTATATTTTATATAAGTTCCACCAGGACGGTTCCCCCAACATGCAAGTCGATGACTCATCGATGACGTCATCCGCCTCGAACTTTCCGCGACGGTGGCGCCAATATCCGATTTCATGCAAGTTTCAATAGGTCATTATGTTTCATACAAGTCCCAAAAGGTCTTAGAGGGATTCCCCCATCACGCGAGTCGATGACTCATCGATGATGTCATCCATCTAGAAAATTCCATGACGGTGGTGCCGCCACTAGTATCATATTCCATACAAGTCCCAACAGGACTCAGGAAGTACCCCCACCACGCCCCCGAGTTGATGAGGTGATTCATCGATGACGTCATCTGTCTAGAAAATTCCGCGACGGTGGCGCCACCATTCCAAAACCTTCCACGCCTTATGGCGCATCTGGTGGCGATTTTGCGAACTACTATCCAGAACCCGCGTAGCATACCTACTTATGCGGTTTCTCCGGGGGGTTGAAGACACCCGCCTATATCCGGAGGGATGAAAATTTAGGTGTTTGAGGGGGAGGGGTTTTAGACTACATTGTTATAAAATTTGCCTCTCCGGAAACATGTGCTGATTTTTTATAAATTAAAAATATGAATTTCGGGGAAAATACATGAGTATGCGGTGTCACCGGGGGATTGAAGACAGCCGCATATATATGGAGTGATGGAAATTTAGGGAGGTGAGGGGAAGGGGACTGAGATTACATTTTTATAAAATTTACACCCCGGAAACATGCGCTGATTTTTTATAAATAAAAAAATGAATTTCGGGGAAAATACATGAGTATGCGGATTCTCCGGGGGGTTGAAGACACCCGCCGATATCCGGAGGGATGAAAATTTAGGGGTTTGAGGGGGAGGGGTTTGAGACTACATTGTTATGAAATTTGCCTCTCCGGAAACATGGGCTGATTTTTTATAAATTAAAAAAATGAATTTTGGGGATAATACATGAGTATGAGGCCTCTCCGCGGGATTAAAGACATCCGCATATATACGGAGTGATGGAAATTTAGGGAGGGTGATGGGAAGGAGTCTGAGATTACATTTTTATAAAATTTACCAGAAACATGCGCTCATTTTTTATAAATTGAAAAAAAAAAATTTCGGGGAAAATACATGAGTATGCGATTTCTCTGGGGGGTTGAAGACAGCCGCATCTATCCGGAGGGATAAAAATTCAGGACGGTGAGGGGAAGAGGTCTGAGATTATATTTTTATAAAATTTACCCCCCCGGTAACATGCGCTGATTTTTTATAAATAAAAAAATTAGTTTCGGGGAAAATACATGAGTATGTGTATTCTCCGGGGGGTTGAAGACACCCGCCTATATCCGGAGGGATGAAAATTTAGGGGTTTGAGGGGGAGGGATTTGAGACTATATTGTTATAAAATTTGCCTCTCCGGAAACATGCGCAGATTTTTTATAAATTAAAAAAATAAATTTCGGGGAAAATACATGAGTATGCGATTTCTCTTGGGGGTTAAAGACAGCCGCATATATCCGGAGGGATGAAAATTGAGGAGGCTAAGGGGAAGAGGTCTGAGATTAAATTTTAATAAAATTTACCCTCCCCCCCGGAAACATGCGCTGATTTTTTATAAATAAAACAAATGAATTTCGGGGAAAATACATGAGTATGCGGATTCTCAGGGGGGTTGACGACACCCGCCTATATCCGGAGGGATGAAATTTGAGGGGTATGAGGGGGAGGGGTTTGAGACTACATTGTTATAAAATTTACCCCTCTGGAAACTTGCGCTGATTTTTTATATATTAAAATATGAATTTCGGGGAAAATACATGATTATGCGGTATCTCCGGGGGATTCAAGACACCCGCATATATACGGAGAGATGAAAATTTGTGGGGGTGAGAGGAAAGGGTCTGAGATTACATTTTTATAAAATTGCCCCTCCCGGAAACATGCGCTGATTTTTTATAATTTTTTGAAAAATAAATTTCGGGAAAAATACACGAGACTGGGGTTTTTCTGGGGGGTTGAAGACACCCGCATATATCCGGAAGCATGAAAATTGAGGGGGGTGAGGGGGTGGGGTCTGAGATTCCATTTCTATAAAATGTCCCCCTCCGGAAATAAGTGCCGATTTTTTATAAATTAAAAAACAATGAATTTCGGGGAAAATACATGAGTATGCGGTTTCTCCGGGGGGTCGAAGACACCCGCATATATCCGGAGGGATGAAAATTTAGCAGGGGTGAGAGGGAGGGGTCTGAGATTACATTTTCATAAAATGTCCCCCTCCGGAAACAAGCGCCGATTTTTTAAAAATTAAAAAACGGTTGAAGACAGCCGCATATATCCGGAGGTATGAAAATTTAGGGATATGAGGGGGCGGGCTTGAAACATTGTTATAAAATTTACCCCTCAGGAATCATGCGCTGATTTTTTATAAATAGAAATATGAATTCCGGGGAAAATACATGATTAAGGAGTTTCTCCGAGGGATTGAAGACACCCGGATATATATGGAGGGATGAAAATATAGCGGGGCGAGGGGGAGGGGTCTGAGATTACATTTTTATAAAATTTACCCACCAGAAAACATGCACTGATTTTTTAAATATAAAAAAAAATGTATTTCGGGGAAAATACATGAGTATGTGGTTTCTCCGGGGGGTTGAAGACAGCCGCCTATATCCGGAGGGATGAAAATTGAGGAGGCTAAGGGGAAGAGGTCTGAAATTAAATTTTAATAAAATTTACCCTCCCCCCCGGAAACATGCGCTGATTTTTCATAAATTAAAAAAAAATGAATTTCGGGGAAAATACATGAGTATGCGGTTTCTCGGGGGGGTTGAAGATAGCCGCATATATCCGGACTGATGTAAATTAAGGGGGGTGAGGGGAAGGGGTCTGAAATTACATTTTTATAAAATTTACGCCCCCGAAAAATGCACTATTTTTTTATAAATTAAAAAAAAATGAATTACGGGGAAAATACATGAGTATGCCCCAGGTAAGAATTACATAGGCTGACGATGAGAACAAGCCTGTATGAGCCCAGGGTTGTTGAGGCTCAGTTATTCAGGCCTGAGATAGGCTTGGTTTCATCGTTCACTACAGCTTCAATTGAGGATCATTAAAGGGGCCATTGGCGAAGCTCAATTCAGGCCTAGTCCAGGCTTTCAGTATTTAGGCTCAGTACATCAAGGCTTATTCACGGCTCAGCAAGGCCTCGAAAATTAAAGTTATTTCCGATTAATTTCCTCAATTTTTATATCAATACTCATCAGCTAATGGTGGTGAAAACATTATCATCATCTACAAACATAGCTATAATTTTCCGCCAAGTTATCTAAGCTAACCCCAGGCCACGCCTAGAGCAGCTCTTTGTGCACGTGGCTACATAATTATTATTGTCCTCATCTATAATTAATTAATCAATCGATTCTGAACTCATAAATCCATTGGACCCATCATTCATTCAAGTTTAGGAAGTTTAATTAGGATATCAA